CTTACCTTGTTCAAGGTCTTAGGCTCCATCCCTTGGGAATGGAGACTCTAGAAAGCATTTCTTTAACCTTGTTTTTTTCGTTTGTTTGTTTGCTTTTTGAGACAGGGTTTCTCTGTGTAACAACCCTAGCTCTTGTAGACCAGGCTGGTCTCGAACTCACAGAGATCTGCCTGCCTCTGCCTCCCAAGTGCTGGGATTAAAGGCATGCGCCACCACTGCCCAGCCTTGTTGCTTTTTTAATGAAAGGACTTTTTTTTTTTTTGGTGGGGGGACAGTTTGAGACAGTGTTTCTCTGTGTAGTCCTGGCTGTCCTGGAACAAACTCTATAGACCAGGCTAGCCTTGAACTCAGTGATCCACCTGTCTGTGTCTCTGTAGTGATTAAAGGTATGAGCTACTTCCCCCTGGCAGATTTGTTTTTGTGTAAGTGTACATGCCTGTATATGTGTGTGTGTGAATATATGTATGTGTCTATGTATATACACGACATGCATGTGGATGCCTGTAGAGGCCAGGAGAGGGCATCAGATCCCCTGGAGTTGGAGTGACATGTGATTAGGAGCCCTCTGATGTTGGTACTGAGAAGCAAACCTGTTAAGAGCAGCAGGTGGTCTTTTCTATAAAGTTATTAGCCACAGCTGACTTGGGCCTTTCTATGTATGTAATCAGTCTGAGACTGAACTGCAGTGCTTCTCTGGCTTCTGCCTCCCGAGCAATGTACTGAGCTTAGTGGCACTAGTCACCTCCTGGGACTCACTGTGTACACCAGGCTGGCCTTGAACTCCACCGGCCTCTAACTCCCAAGTGCTGGAATTAAAATCATGCACACAGCCGCCAGCACTGGCTGAGCCCTTGTCTTTCAAGGAAAACGAAAAAGATAAAAAGTGTCTAAAACTGAGCGTGGTGGTACACATCTGTAATTCAGCACTTGGGAGATATAGTCAGGAGGATTAGAAGTTCAAGCCCACCTTCAACTATATACCAAGTCTGAGGCCAGCCTGGGCTAAATGGCCCAACCTGGGGTAGGGAAAACAAAGTCAGGGTGCATAGTATAGAATCGTGACCTTTCAATTGCCCCGCACTAACACACTGTGGTCCTTGGAAGACCTACCAAGTTCTAAGCAGCCCAGGACTCCAAGGACGAGGCCAATCGTATGGTACAGAGGTAGAACAACATAGACCACGTCGTCAGCTGTGGCCTCGCAGAATGACAGCATCTTGCTCATCTGGACGACCCGCTCATGTGAGAGAATGGCTGGCTTTGGGAGTCCTGGAGGGTGAGGGAGCAATAAGGTTTGGGGAAGAAGAGAGACCAACCACCACTACAGGGTGAGTCTGCCTGCCGCTGAGCCTCTCAGAGGAGATCAAATATAAAGATTGTTCTGGGTAAAGTGAGGTAAGCCTATAATTCCAGCACTCAAGAGAGTGAGGCAGCTCCATAGGGAGCTCAAAGTCGTCAGTTAAAGCTGCAAGAAACCAAAAAAATAAATAACAAAAAGCATGAAAACTCGTTGAGTATCTTTTTGTTTTTGTTTTTTTCATGTTTTGTGTTTTGAGACAAGATCTTTCTCTGTGGCTCAAGCTAGCTTGGACTCACTATGTAACCCAGGCTGGCCTTCAACTCTCCTCCTTCCTTCCTCCCTTCCTTCCTTCCTTCTTTCCTTCTTCTCCCTTCCCTTTTTTTCGCCATCTTCCCTTTTTTTCTGTCAAAAAAAAAAAAAAACCTTCATTCCATCATTTCTTTTTTATTTATTTATTATTTTGTTTTTTTTCAAGACAGGATTTCTCTGTGTAGCCCTGGTTGTTCTGGAACTTGCTCTGTAGACCAGGCTGGCCTCAAACTCACAGAGATACTCTAGCCTCTGCCTCCAGAGTGCTGGGAATATAGGCGTACATTACCACACCCAGCTTGAATTTTTATTCCTTTTTAAAAACAAGGAATTCCTTGGTGAATTTGCCTGTCAGCCTTGCACAGCGGAAATGCAAATTTATCTATTTTTTGATTTTAGTAAGCAATCCACTGAAAGGCGCACACCTTGAATTCGACATTCTCTGGCCTCTTAACCCCTGAGTGCTGAGATTTACATGTGAACAGCACCACATCCCAGTCTGGGTTGGTTTTCGGAGTTGGGGGGCGGGCCATAAATCCAAACAAAATATAAGTGCACTTGGGGTCAGAGTCAAAGTCAGAGGTTGGGTGTCAGGTGCTAGGGCAGGTGAGTGAGGCCAGGGTGTGAGAGCAGAGGGTGGGGGCAGGGCCATGTCTCCTCACCAGTGGTTCCTGACGTGTAGATGAACAAGGCAGGGCTTCGCCACGTGATCTGGGCTCGAAAGCTGGCAGGCACCGGGTCAGAAGGAGCAGCATCCAGGGCAGCCCCCAGGGCCTCCACACCTGGAGTGGGTGAGCTGTGGTCAAGGTAGAAGCAGGAGATGTTCTCTGCTAGCAGCTTGGGAAGGACTTCTTCCAGGCTCTCCCGGAGGTCTGCAGGGACCATCAGAGGAAAGGAGAGGTAAATCTCAGCCTCCTTCAAAGTCAAAAGGGAGTCTCAGAAACCCAGGGACTGAAAGCAGGTAGCAGAGAAAAGTTTCCCCATTCCTGGATGAAGACTTTATGTCAGGCTGTGGTGGCACACGCCTTTAATCCCAGCACTCAGGAGACAGAGGTAGGTGGATATCATGAGTTTGAGGCCAGCCTGGTCTATGGATCGAGTTCCAGTACAGCCAAGGCTACACAGAGAAACCCTGTCTCAAAAAACAAACAAACCAAAGAACCTCATAATTCATAAAATATAAGTTTAGTCAAATAAAGCTGGGCATCATGGCCCACGCCTTCAATCCCAGCACTCAAGAGGGAAAGACAGGTGAAACTCTCTGAGTTCGAGGCCAGCCTGATCTACATATGGCGTTCCAAACAGTCAGTGCTTCATATGAGATCCTGTCTTAAAACAAAACAAACAAACAAACAAAAAAACCTTCAATTAAAAAAAATTAATCAAATGGGCCTGAAAGATTTAGGGGAAAATATTTAAAATGGCAACCCTAGAATTACTTCCCAGGTAAACCAACATTTTGACCCTCGGCTCTCAGAAATAGATACAACAAAGGCTCCCAGAAACTTGCCCCCCTTTTTTTCACTGCCCCTAGGGCACTCACCTGGGTCCACAATGAGAACACTGGCCCCAGAGCTCAGCACAGAGTGCAGCAGGGGCTTCCCTCGGCCATGTGGGTTGATCCAGGCCACAGGGCAGCCCAGCTTGGCCAACCCCAGAAACACACTCAAAGCAGTAATGTTCTTGGAGGGGAGCACTAGGAGGGCCGCAATCCCTTTGGCCTGCTGGCTGGTGTCTTCCTTCAGCTTTGCTTTTAGTGCCCATGCTGCCTGACAGGCCCTGGCATTCAGCTGGCTATTGGTGATCGAGGGGGCCCCGGACCCTGTACACACCAAGGCCGCGTGGTCAGGCCGTGCCCGTGCTTGCCGCTCCAAAGCATCCACAAAGGTCTCTGGAGGCTGCTTGTTAAGGAGTTGCCTAGTTTTCAGGGCATAGGAGAGGATCTTGAACATGTAGGCCACATCTTTGTGTAGCCAGCGTAGCCCTGGGGGTAGCTGTGGAGGCAACAGAGTTAATGTAACACCTGCAGCTACCAGACTCAGCCAGTGGGGCATCCAGGAGCTGATCCAGGGTTTGGCCAGTAATGCCAAGCCAAGGAGGACAAAGCATGTGGGGTCTCCCAGGAACCAGCGCAGGGCCACAGCCACAGTTGCTGGCCATGGGGGCTGCCTCAGGCCAACCAGCAGAAGCAGCAACAGTAGCAGGAAGGTCAATTTCTGCCAAACGCCCATGGCACCGGCTCGTTCTGAAGTCGCTGAGTGCGTCAGTAGTGTCGATTCTGTCCAGAGCTCTGAAGCCCTAACTTCCTGCCTTTAAGGGAATCTGCCTACCCCAGTCGCCAGTTATGATCAGTACTATCAGCAACTAACTGCTCTTGTCCCCTGAACTCTGTCCTTTTGCCACACAGTTCTTACTGGCTGGGAGTACTCCTACAGTTCCAGCCCTCTCTGCCTGATCGCCAGGCCTGCTCCACCTCCTTTGGACACCATCAACCAGCGTCCTCTTGAAGGCTAGCATTTGTCTCCAACTCATGTCTGCTAAGGATGGAAAACTAGGGGGCTGGAGAGTTGGCTCAGTGGTTAAGAGCACTGACTGCTCTTCCAAAGAACCCAGATTCAATTCTCAGCATGCACATGGAGGCTCACAACTGTCTGCATCACCAGTTCTTGGGGATGTGACACCCTAACACAGATATACATGCAGGCAAAACACCAATGCACATAAAAATAAATAAATAAATAAATAAATAAATAAATAAATAAATAAATAAATAAATAAAGTAGGCTAGGCAATGGCAGCACACACCTTTAATCTCAGCACTCAGTAGGCAGAGGTGTGAGGGACCAAAAGACCCCCAAGCCAGAGGAGCTGGCCAGCTTTTCACACCTCCTTCATGTTTTCACACCTTTGTTACATAACCAGTCTGCTACAGAGAAGCGCAGACAGCTGTGGCATAGTTTTCACAGCAATGTGACCACAAGATGTGCCATATAGATTATAAAAGCAAAACAGTTACTTCCTCTTTGACCTGGGCACCTGGGGCTTGGTAATTTTCCATCCCCCTCTGCCCTCACCCCCTCCCTGCAAGAACTGCCTTATAAAAATAAAACTGTGCCTACAATAAACGAAGCCTTGACGCATCTCAGACTGACTTTGTCTTTCTTTACGCGCTTGGTACCCTTTCCCTTTCGCCCCCCATTACTTTCAGGTGATACCTCCTCGAGACCCATAAATAACCTGGCCTGCTGGACGGGTCACAGAGGCAGGCGGATTTCTGTGAGTTTGAGGCCAGCCTGGTCTACAGAGCGATTCCATGATTGGCTTCATAGATACCGGGAAACCCTGTCTCAGGAAATAAAAGACCTGCCTAACTCCAGTCAATAAGGTAAGAAGTCCAGCCTGTGTCTGTCTCAATTACCTACCTTGAGGTCATTTCAAGAAATCCAGGTCTTGCCAGGCGGTGGTGGTGCACACCTTTAATCCCAGCACTCAGGAGGCAGAGGCAGGTGGATCTCTGTGAGTTTGAGGCCAGCCTGGTCTACAAGAGCTAGTTCCACCAAACTAGCACCAAAGCTACAGAGAAACCTTGTCTCGAAAAATCCAAAAGAAAAAAAAGAAAAAAAAGAAATCCAGGTCTTGGCCTGAACTATTCAAGGGAAACTTGTCGACTGTCAGGTACAGTAGCAGCTTAGTAAACACTTAGAACACCTTTAATCATCTGGATTTAACACACTTCTGTTCTCCACCATGAGCCTACTGCACGGGGATTCCACTTCACTTCTGGTGTCCTTGTGACACCCAGTCACAGAAGAGCCCCATGGGCCCAGGAGACAAGCAGGGAGGCCTTCCAAGCTAGAGCTCCTCCTGCCCCAAATCCTTAGGCATCAGTGGATCAGAGGTGGGAAGGGGACAGGGAGGAAGCCATTCTAAGCTGAGAGCAGATATCATACTGGTTTCTTTGAAAGACCACCTTCTTTATTCAATAGGCAACTGGGTTCTATGAATTCTTGCTTCCCACCCATCTGACACAGCCATCCAATTCAATCTGGGTTCTCTAGCATTTGGAGTCCAACATCCAGGGTTCAAGTGTCCTCACAGCAACCTGGCCCCGAAGAGCCCTCCTGGGCATCTCACAGGTGGGATGTCCAATATTCATGTCCATCAGGAAGGGGGAGGGAAAACCTTGACTCCTAAAGGTTTCTGGTTGGAAGGGGGACTCAATTTCTGCAGTGTATATGTAGCAACCAGCATTGGAACCGGGACTGGGATTCCCCACAGGGTTGAACACTTCAAGAAAACTGGATGACTGTTATATATGCAGCCCACCCACCTAAATCCCAAAATAAAGATTCAGGCTATCAAACCAAATTGTGCCTACCTGCCCAGGAAATCTCAAGGGACCACAAAGGTACAACCCACGAAAGTAGGGACCACGCCCCAAGCCCATAACTCAGAAAGCCTACTAGACATGCACTGGCCCAACGTCCTTTATTAGAATGGAATCCTAAAGTTCCACAGTAGGTCCATCTGAGTCTACACAGGTGCCCAATGAGGAAAGGGAAATCCAGACTGGGGTGAGTGTAGGGCCCATGGGTCTACCCCTGCTCCCAGGTTTCATCTTGAGGACAGTTTCTGGTCAGCCAGCTAAAACATCCTGTTTGTTCCTGTGTTCGTTCCCTCTGCCTTGCCTGGTGATTAGTTATAGGGCATTGTTGACTCCACCTTGGGCGTGGTCTGGGGGTTATTCCATTGTGCAGCAGCTAGGTACTTAAGGTTTTCCCTAAACTTGAATAAACGGCATTAGGCTGATCTCCTTTCAAATGACCCAGGTCTCTTGTGTTCTTTCAATCTCCAGGCTCTTGCCCGGCACAGTACAGTACAGTGGCACGAGAACTGTACTGAGAATAATGCAGGCGCAGGCATTACAGGTGAGGTCAGAGAATTCTAGCCCAGCACTGGGGCAGAGGATAACCCTAGACATCATACCCCGACAGGGAGTAGGGCAAAAATCCCATATCAGGTTCCAAGAGTCTGTGGACCCAGCTCAACCTGGAAATGGTCTAGATCTCTGAGGTGGTAGGGTTCCTGACCATCCTCTACCCCGCCATATCCCATCCAGAGATGCTAAGCATGTGTAGGAGGGATAGGGTTCTGGGTCCCAAGTCCAGGGAAAATGGGGAGAGAGTAGGGAAGAGAAAGAGTCCAGACCCCAAAGCAAGAACCTTCCGGTGGGGTGGACCTAGTCCAAGGGTCTGACTGCACCACTGTGTACAGCTGGATCCCAATCAAGGTGCAGGGTGAGCTGCCAGGTGGCGCTCCAACAGTGCGCGGTGTGAGAAAACCTTGCCACAGGCAGGACAGGGTGCACGCTCAGGCCGGTGTGTGCGCATGTGCACGTTGAGCGAACTCTTCTGCGTGAAGCGCTTGGCACACACAGCACACTGGAAGGCTCGTACGCCAGTGTGTGTGACCATATGCTTGAGCAGGTAGTCACGCAGCGAGAAGGATCGCCAACACACTGCACATTGATGTGGCTTCTCCCCTGCAGATGACAAAGCAAGCCACACACACATTAGTCCAGCTTGCTCTCCCTGGAGCCTGTCCTTGGTGGGGACTCCTCTATTCTCCCCTCCCTCCTGAGTCAGGTCAGGACCCCTTTGCTTGTCAAGGAAACCACTCTGGAATCCCACTCTGCCAGGAAGCCCTCTCCCAAACCCACATCTTCATTCAACTATGCCACCGTCTGCCAGGAACCCTTAAAAGGGAACTCTACCTGTCTGGAACAACGCCCATTGCCCATTTAGGCTACACTCAGATCTCTCCTACTTCAAGGAATTTTCATCCCCAGTTCACACCTCGGCTGGCACTTGCAGACCCTTCTCTACTCAGACCCATATTATGAGCCACTTTTATAGGAAATAAACCCACGTTCCTTCACCATAATTCTCTTCCTGCTTCCTGCAGCTCCCATCCCAGAAGCTGGTCAGTTCTCCACCAACACTTCCTTTAACCTGACCAGCCCAGGCTAAAGCTAGCTTTCTAAGACCTTAGCAGGTCTGCTTTGGAAGGGCAGGCTCCCACTTCCCAATCAACCGCTTTACACGGGGGAACTAAATTTCCAGACTTCTAAGGCTAACACAAAACAAAGTGCCTGATCCCACCCAGGAACCAAATATCCAACGATTAAGGGGCTCAGAAATCTGTGTGGGTAGAGACGGCGATTTCCTTTCCTCTCGCACTCACCAGAGTGGATGAACATGTGCTTGGTGTAGTTTTTCCGAGAACTGAAAGTCTTGCGGCAGTGACTACACTCATAGGCGGGTTGCTCAGTACCCGAGGCACCGGAGACACGCACAGGAGGGCCTGAGATGGCTGTTGCAGGAGCAGCAGGGGCAGCAGGTACAGCCGGGGTTTCTCCTAGCTGAGCACTGGGGGCTGCATCTGGCTGGAGCGTGGGGTAGAAAGCAGGAGGGGGCGCAGGGACTGGCCCTGATGGAGCGGGAGGTGTTGGTGCTGGTGGCCCCGGGGCACCCAAGTGAAAGGGGAATAGAGCCACGGGGGGTCCAGGGGTCTTCATGCCAGTGGGGCGAGGCCCAGCCAGGGCGCAGTCGGGTGGGGCAGAGGTTTCCACCGGACAACTTTCTGGACCCCCGTTGCCTTCTGCTTCATGCCAGGCGGACACGTAACTATCTGGGAACACATCCTCGGTCACCGTAGTCCCCCGAAGGAAATCTCTCCCGGCACCACCATAATCTGTGATGCCAGTGGATGCAGGCTGGTCCTCACGTGCACTGTCAGCTGTGGTGGTGAGGAAGCCCCCTGAGCAGTCGGGAAAAGCAAGGGGCGCCTGGCCCTCTCCCGGGCCTACGCCGCCACCTTCACCTTCTTCAGCGTCGGTCTCTTCATCAGTCTCTTCGTCGTCATCCTCTTCACCTCTGTCTTCAGGGGCGGCAGTCAGCGCAGGCTCGGTATCCGGCCCCTCAGCCTTGATAGGTGCTGGGGGCGCAGGCAGCTGCAGACGTGCAGGCTGGCGCTGTTTGCGGCTGTGCGCTGCGCTGGGGTGACCCGGGGGGCGGGCCGCCAGCAAGTGGCGTAGACGGTGGCGCAGTTGCGCGGGAGCAAGTGGCGGGGGCACGGGTGGTGGCAGAGGTGCAGGTGCCGGGGTGCTGGGGACACGGGCACGCGCTATGATTTGTGTGCACTCATCAATGACGGTTTGGATGCGAAGCACCGAAGCTGCTGTGAGCACCTGTAGCGCTTCGCCCTGAGCCACCACCAAGGAGCCACTGTACAGGAACTCGACCAGCTGGCGCACCGTCTGCGCAGGCACAACTGGTGGCACACGTATTTCTGAATGGCCAAGCAATAACTTATCCTGGAAGAAGGGCGAGCCCGCGGCCAGCACGCAGCGGTGCGCACGCAGAGAAGCTTCACGGATGCGCACAGTCACATCGCAGAAGTGACCGCCTAGCCTCTGCCCATTGAGGGTCTCCAGAAGTGAGCGCGAAAAGTTCTGTAAGTGGATGTGGTGCACCGCCTCGGTCGCTGCCATCTGCGGGATGAGGAGACAATGGGGATTGGGCTATCAGCTAAGGACTCTGCCATCCTATGTCCTGGTCCCTTTAATCCTTATCACAGAATCCAACAATGCATCCCACCTCATACATCCCTCATCAAAGTCCTTGAACCAACACATAAAACACGTCAGCACTCCTGGCCTAGGTACTCCTCAATGCCCTCTATCCCTGCAACACCAGCATATATATCCCGTTTTATGCCCCAAGAAGATCTAGGCTTAGCCTCCTTCTGGGAACTTACCTAGCCCCCACCTTTAATATTTCTAAATCACAGGACGCCCTCCTCTCAAGGGGATGGTCTTCTTTAAAACAAATGCCAGTAACTCCCATTCAAAACTGGCTACCCTGTCTCACTGAGAACGACCTCCCCAGGAAAGCAATAAGCTACTATCTCACTTCCACCAAGCTACCCATGACCCTTTCCTCTATGGTTGTTTTCTTTCTTTTCTATTCTCCCCTAGCCAGATTTCCTTATCCTAGCACCTCTAAGGCCCAAGAGTACTACCTTAGAAGCTCGTGCCATTAGCTGCTGTGTGGGGGTGGATGCACCTGCCTCCTGGCGAATATGGGAGCACCTCTTCAGGCTGGGCACCAGTGTCCCTCATACCCAAGGAAAGCAAATAAATACTACCTATAACAAAGCACTGCGGCCCTGTTTCTTTTTTACATCAGCTGAGCCCTGAGGTGTTAAGAAACCACACAAGGGATGTGAAAGGCCAGCAAGCTGAAACCCATCACACTGGGTTTCAATCCTCATATTTCTTATGCATCCGAGACTATCATCCTAGCACTGACGAGACTGAGGTCCTGGAAAAGGGAAGAAACTCCCCTCTCTCCCTCTCTCTCTCTCTCTCTCTCTCTCTCTCTCTCTCTCTCTCTCTCTCACACACACACACACACACACACACACACAGGAGCTAAGAAGCTGAGATCTGCCAGGTAAGCCACCAAGTGGATAATTCCAGGTCTCTGGGCCTGTTTCCTTATTTAACAAATAAGAGTGTTACACTTGGATCAGACTGCATACAACTCTGCTCGAAGGGAGAGAATCGAGATACAGGATATACCCTAACACCTGTCTCTCTGGGGCCTTGGCTCCTGAGTGGGGCCCCATGAAATTCTGCCCTTATACCAGGGCTGAGAACTCAGACTCAACGTTTCTATATCCTTAACACAAACACGTCCTTCCCTTTGGCCAGGCCGATTCCTCCCTTTCTCTCAAATTATCTTATACACTGTGCCAGTTACCACCGGCCTGGACGTTGGAAGTCACCTTGTAAGTCCCTCCACACCCCCACCTCCGGACATTTACCTCACGCGACAGCCAGAGGGAGCCTGCTAACCTAGTTTATCTGAGTCCTCTATGACGATGAATTAATTCTTCAGACAGACCAAGGCTTTGCACCTGCCTCTGCCAGCGGCCCTCTTTTTCAACTTGTGTGCCAACCCATAGGTCCTAAACTCTTTAAATCCACCCCCCACTCCCACCCCGCTTCCCGGAGAGCTCGGACTCCTCAGATGCAGCAGGACATTCCTGGATGCTCCAGAACAAAGACACACTGTCGACCGACCACATCTACTGCTGTATTCTCGCCGCCGTGTCCCCTCCCATGCCATGCACCTTGCTCCATCAACCTGTCTCTATCCCACCCTGCGCCAGAGGCCCCTTCGGGCCCACTACGACCACACAGACTGTTTCCCGCCTCCACAGCCTTGCCCGCGCGCCCTGCCCCGATCCTACAGCGCCCTCTCGCGTTCGCCACGTGTGCACCGATCCTCACGCGGGCGTCCCTCCCCCAGCACGCCCGGGCCATCCCTCTGACTCTGAGACGAGACTGAGGGATGCCCGCTCGACCCCACCTCCGACTCCTCGGGCACCAGGTCCTGCAGTGGCTGCCTCCTGCTTGTCAACTTGAAGGCCGCACTTCCGGGCCGCGAAACGGAACCGATGGCCGCGGCGCAGGCGGAACGATAGTCGGGAACACGTTTCCGGTGCTTCTATTAAGACTAGGCCGTCTTCCGGCCTGGTTCGCGTCAAAACTAAATCCCAGAAGCTGGGATGGCGGAGGAGCCAGGGATCAGTGGGCCTGAGCACGCTTCCGTCGTCGCCAGACTGGTGTGAGTGAGCCGTCAATCTATTCTCTGGCCACACCCTCGGTTTTCTCAGCCGAACTGGAGAGGGCGCACGAACCCGGAGGCTGAGGGCCTCGACCTCCTTTGGTGGATTTTCTCCTAAAGCGGAGGAAAAGGTTCTGAGTCTCTCATGCTCCCATGCCAGATGAGGACGCTTTTACGGGGCTCCCCTGTAGTCGCCCAAAGAACACAGGCCCGCCTTCCCAGGGAAACATCCTCATTTGGTGTTCCCACCTCATCCCACCTAGACCCCCCCAGAAATTCACTACTCTCTAAATAAATGAATGGTTATGGAATCCATGCCGCAGCTTCGCCACAGGTCAGAATAGAGGGTAGCTCATGAAATGGGGTGGAAAGTAGTCAGGCACCAAACAATAGGGACCAGTTGTGTCAGAGAGGACAGCAGTCATCCAAAAAGGCACCCTTAGTGCTGTCCAAGACATCCCTGAACCAAATCTATCAAGGATTGACCTTCCCTTGCCTTCCATTCTTGAGGCCAATCAGTCAGCCACCATGTAAGACCGGTCAGGTATCGATGAGTGAATAGGGCTGCAGAGATGTAGAGAGCCCTGGGTCTCCGTGTGCCTGGTACTGTGGAGTGTAGCAGGGCTGGTGCCTCAGGAGGACAATGTCCGGGTTTTTGTTCTCCATCCTGGACAGATGCTGGAGAGCTGTGTTGTAGACGTGTGTGAAAGTCTAGTGAAGCATATGCCAGGTAAACCTCATTAGAATCCAGACTAGTGCTGGGGGTGTAGCTCAGTTGCTAGAGTGCTTGCCTAGCATGCAGACGCCCTAGGTCTGAGCCTCATCTTCACATAAACTGTGTGTAGTTATTCACACCTGTAATCCAGGCACTTGGGAGGCTGAGGCAGGAGGGTCTGAAGTTCAAGGTTATCCCCATAAGTCAGAGTTTGAATTCAGTGTGGCCTACACAAGATGCAGTCTTAAAAAAAATCTAGGGGGCTGGAGAGATGGCTCAGAGGTTAAGAGCACTTGCTGCACTTCCGGAGGTCCTGAGTTCAAGTCCCAGCAACCACATGGTGGCTCACAGCCATCAAAAATGAGATCTGGTACCTTCTTCTGGTGTGCAGGCATACATGGAATGTTGTATACATAACAAATAAATAAATCTTTTTTAAAAAAATCTAAACTTTACCAGGTGGTAGTGGCACACACCTTTAATCCCAGCACTGGAGAGGCAGAGACGACAGGCTGATCTCTGTGAGTTCAAGGCCAGCCTGGTCTATAGAGCAAGTTCCAGGATAGGTTCAAAGCTACAGAGAAACCCTGTTCCCTGTTCGTCTTGAAAAAAAAAATAAATAAAGGGATAGATAAATAAATAAATAGTAACCTAAATTTTAATAACCAAGAATGCCTGCAATCTTATCACTTGGGTGGGGGGAGAGAAACTTGAAAATTGGGAATTTAAGGCGATCTCAGCTGTAAGAACCTGTTCATCTAAAAACAAACCTAAACAAGTAAAAGAGCTGGGGAAATGGCTTAGCACGTACAAGACCCTGGGTTCAAATAGCAAAATAACCAAGCATAATGGTCTAGCATCTTTACCTCTTTTTCAGATTCTGAGCCCAAGAAGGAGACTTTTGCCTCCCCGACACTGACTAAACTCTTTCATACTAGACAGTCTTCTCTTTGCTCATTCCTCTCCAGCTTCAGGGACCCCTCTCTGTACCCTCACCTTCTTCATTGGCTGCTATGCCACCAGAGCCTTTCCTACCTTAAGGCTGCACCATCTTCTGTCATGTGACTTGTGTACTCCATTCTGGGCTGCCATCCTGTAAGTCTATGAGGCCTCACCAAACTAATCTGGCAAGAAGGAGTCCGGATTCTAAAAACACCTTTCTAAGACTTGGTACCCAACCTTCTGCTGTGCATCAAATACTCTTTTTTGTTTTGTTTTTCGAGACAGCGTTTCTCTGTAGCTTTGGAGCCTGTCCTACAGCTAGTTCTTGCAGACCAGGCTGGCCTTGAGCTCGCAGAGATCCGCTTGCCTCTGCCTCCTGACTGCTGTGAATAGGGCCTGCACCACCACCACCAGGCTCATCAAATACTCTTAAAATGGGAGATCACTGGGTCTGGAGAACGAGTCGGTGGTTAAGAGCACTTGCTGCTCTTCCAGAGAGAAAAAAAATGAAAAAGCAACATGATTGCTCCTAGATATGGTAGAGGAGAAAATTTATTGTAGATAAAAGTGAGAACATAGAGACAGACACACCTAGGAGAGTCCAGAGCCATTCCCCTGGACCTTGGGACAGGGAGGGGAAAGAAAGAAAAACCAGGTGCATCAGCCAAGAGGCCCAAAAAAGAGAATATATGAAAAAGACCAGGTGCTAGGCGGTGCTGGCACACGTCTTTAATTCTAGCACTGGGGAGGCAGAGGTAGAGGCAGGCAGATCTCTGTGAGTTGGAGGCCAACCTGGTCCAGGACTATTTAACAGAGAAATCCTGTCTTGAAAAACCATTAAAAAGGAAAGAGAGAGAGAGAGAAAAGAAGAGCTGGGCAGTGGTGGCGCACAACTTTAATACCAGCGCTTGGAGGCAGGTGCATCTCTGTGAGTTGGAGGCCAGCCTAGTCTAAGAAACAAGTTCCAGGACTGTCAGAGCTGTTACACAGAAAGATCCTGTGTGGGGGGAGACTTTTCTTTGGAGCCTTCACAAAAGATCCCACCTGATGCTGGGGAGTGGAGAGGTGTGTGTGTGTGTGTGTGTGTGTGTGTGTGTGTGTGTGTGTGTACACGCTCACACACACATACCCCCTTTAATCCCAGCACTTGGGAGGCAGAGGCAGGCGGATCTCTGTGAGTTCCAGGCCAGCCTAGTCTACTGAGCAAGATCCAGGGCAGCCAGGACTACACAGAGAAACCCTATCTCACAAAACAGGAACAAAAGAATAGATGCATGTATTTGAAGACAGTTTTTAAAATTACGTTTGTATTCTCTGTGTATACATGCATGTGTGTGTGTAGAGGTCTTCAGGACAGCTTACTAGGGGTAGTTCTCTCTCTTCACCATGTCACCAAGTGAGTGAGAGTGGGTGGAAACGAGCTTAGGCCTGGCGGCTAGTGAGTGCCCTTACAGGCTGCGGCTGCGCCATCTCTCTGGCCCTGAACACAGCTTTTATCAGACTACATGGCCTGCAAATAGTTTTAAAATTTTAGGCCCTGGAAGGGAGGGAAGAAGCAGACAGCATGGGTCAGTCACTTAAGGGAAGAAACTTCGAGGTCACAGAGACCAGATCTTCAAAAATATTAATAAAAAGTAAAAGGGATGGAGGCGTACAGATAGATATTCCTCCTTTGGGCCCTGCTAGTTAGGGGTGTTGCTAGGTGGGCTACTGCTAATTGGCATCTTTTGTTTTGCTTTGTTTTTCTTTCTTTTTTTTTTTTCTTTTTGGTTTTTTGAGACAGGGTTTCTCTGTGTTACTTTGGAGCCTGACCTGGAACTAGCTCCTGTAGACCAGGCAGGTCTCGAACTAACAAAGATTCACCTG